CAAACAAACAAAAGAATAAAATCCTACGGCAAGTTGCTAGCCATAAATATCCCAACAAGTGGATGTTTATGGCTCTCAAGTTTTTATGCCAAAAGGCCAGCCAGCCAGCATGTGCCTGAATGTCATGAGATCACTTGGTGTGGAAGTCATCCAACTTAGGAGACAAGATGAGTGATCCCCAAAGAGCCGATTCTGCATACTGAAAGATAAGAATCCACACTAGAACTGAGGTCCAGTAACCAACGAGTTTCAACAGTGAATCTGTTATGGATTAACTTGGTTAGTTACCCAAGGTAAGTCTTTTTTTTTTTTAATAGTTTATTGTCAAATTTGTTTCCACATAACACTCAGTGCTCATCCCCACAAGTGTCCTCCTCCATGCCCATCCCCCTCTCCCCCCACATCCATCAGTCCTCAGTTTGTTTGTCAGCATTCAAGAGTCTCTCATGGTTTGCCTCTCTCCCTTTCGCCCACCATTTCCGCCCTTCTTCTCCCCCTTGTTCCTCCGTCAAGTTCCTCCTAATCCTCCCATACGTGCAAACATATGATATTTGTCCTTCTCTGCCTGACTTACTTCGCTCAGCATAACACCCTCAAGGTCCATCCATGTTGCTACACATGGCCAGATTTCATTGTTTCTCATTGCCATGTAGTATTCCATGGTATAGATAAACCACATCTTCTTGATCCATTCATCTGTTGATGGACACTTAGGCTCTTTCCATGTTTTAGCTATTGTGGAGAGTGCTGCTATGAACATTGGGGTACATGTGCTCCTATGCCTCAGTATTTCTGTATCCCTTACCCAAGGTAAGTCTTAAACTAAGTTCTGATATTCTGAAAATGAAGTCTTAAGAAAGCAGTGGGCTTAGAGGTATAAAAAAGTTTTTTATATCCTAGTCTACTCCCTTCTCTAATATTAAAAAACAAGGCATATAGCTTGGGTTTTCATTTAAGTACATTATAATCCAGCGGTTGTCCAAAATCCTTGCGTCTTAGTTTGGTACATGAGCCGTTTCAGTGCCTCTATGACATCTCTTGTCAGATAGAGGAATTCCCATATTCTTTCTACTTCCTCCTTCAGCAATTACACTGATTCTCATTTACGCTTTGGAATGGTTTGTTGCCTCAATCCCTTAAATTCCAGTAGGTGGGCCTACAACCGACAGGCACCAAGTTTTGCTCTGACCCCATCTACGTCTGACCTGGTGCAGGGACAGAGGATGAGAGGAGGCAGAAGCTCACCAGAAACCTGGTTTTGCCACCGCCGCCCAGGCTGCGACAGCGCTATGCTTCCGGCCCCGGGCTTCACTCCCACACCACGCTACTTTCTGATCCCACACCCATCTTGTGTGCGGAACCTCGGACTCTGCTCTTACATCAGCAGCCACTTTTCTTCCTTCCATTCTGCGCTGCCTTCAAACTCTTTTGCCTCTAATACCCATTTTCAGTAGAGCCTACTCCTGGGTTCAAAGGTCTAACCAGTGACTCTTCAAATTAATCTAGACAGACCCAAACTTTCCTTATTATCCTCCCCAACCCACTGTAAAGCCCTATTATAATACGTGACTTTCAACCACTGTAATGAAGGCAGTATAACAAAGCTCTCGATAGTCCACTAACCATGAAATATAATTTCACCTCTTGGGGCTCACCTGTTTTCTTGTGTATAAAACTTGAGGGTTAAAAGAGGAGGCCTTCATAGAAGAAAACTAATATTTACTGATCACTTGGGCCAAGTGGACACTCTGCAAATCTCTATGCAGTCCTCTGAACAAGCCTGAGGGAGGGAAGGATCTGTTATTTCTGTTCTCCAGGCAATCAATGTGAAAGTGAGAAAAGTCAGGGGAACTTGTCCAAAGCTGTCTTCCTGGTCTAAGCAGAGAGGCCAGGTCCAGCCTCTGCCAAATCCTAAGCGTCTTTGGTCCCTTCTGGCCGCATCACGCTCTCCCATGTCCCTAAGCTGCAACCACCATGGTCTGGGCCCCTGACCAGCCCGAAGGCTTTCCAGTCACTGCGGTGAAGGTCATCTTTGCCAGGGGGTCATAGGGATCTCCGTCTTGGCCAAAAGAGACAAGCTGAAACGTGGAAACGTGTGCATCACTTGTGAAAGTGAGTAAAGACCACACGGACACAGAGCAACTCGCTTCCATCCACAGCTTGGGGCTACAGAGCAGAAGCAAAAGAATTCCCTGGAAGATGGAACTCCTCCCTGACACACAGGGAAAGGCAGCCTTTCGGGTCACAGTGATGCCACTCGGGTGTCAGCTGCCACCACAGACACATGGGCTCGGCCCTTGACTCACGGTCCTGGTCACACTACGCTTGAAATCCAAGAAGGCTGAGAAAGACTTGTTGGAGTTAGTTTCGGACTCCAGCTTCTGTCCTGTTCTGCAGGCCATGTCCTCACTGCCTTTTCTGCACGGGACACAGCATGGGTGCTAACGTCCTCTTTACCACCCTTTTCATTTATTCATTCATTTATTTGCTCGTTTATTTGCTTATTTATTTTAGTTCACCTACGTTTATTAACAGTAAGATAAATACTACCAAAGCAAAATATTTTTCTTCACAAAATAGCTTAGAGAACTATAAATGGGATGTTATTTTTATCTATCTATCCATCCATCCATCCATCTATCTTGCCAAATGGCTATTTTATTATTCCCACTCTTACACAGTTTTCCTAAGACACTAAGTGACTATTTTCCTTCACAGAGGAAACCCTCTGCAGGTCCACAAAATCTGAATCTATTTCTCCAGGATCACCCTGACTTCTAGAAGGGAATGCGCGAAGCTGTCGCTTCTCAAGAACCTCCAGGCCGCAGCTTTAAGAAGGTGTAGCTGGGGATCAGCCGGTGTGGGCAGTGACGGGATGCAGCAGACTCCTCTCATTTCAACACCCATGCGAGGTTTCCAGGAAGGGGGGGGGGTTGAAATCTGGAGGCGAGATAGGGGTGGGGGCAGGAGATCAGGGTGGGGACTGGCAAAAGGCACTTGTTTTCAAAGGAACAAAGGAACAAAACAACAATATTTTATTCTGACGATCAGTTCCTACAACGGTGCCAGATACACAGGCTCCTAATGAATCCTTAATGAAATGAATGAAGTGCTTCTTTCTGCCACAGAAATCCTGAGGGACCATGCTCGACAAAAAAGCACCTGTCGTTATACAGCATCAGAGCTCAAAGCTTGTGTTTATTTCCATACTTTAAGTTCTTTTTTTTTTTTTTTTTAGAAATGCAAAGCAAATTCTGTATCTATTCCCAAGACCAGCAGATTCTGAAAAATCAGAGCTGAATCCATTTTTGTACGTGAAGTGGGAAATCAGGGAGCCTCTCTGCCAGGTAGTGGAATTACAGATTTTAATTTTCTTTCTGCTTATCAGGAGTTTTCAACGGTTCTACAGAGGACATGAATGCTTATTTTAGTAAGTCTCAGAATGACTTTAGGCACTCTGGATCTTAAAAAGCACACTGTAAGTGCCTCCACAATTTCTCATACAATAAGAATTCGTCAATTACAGTTACTGCTAAATTATAAATACCTTAAATCGGCACTCGCCAAGTACTCTCTTCACAGTGATGGCGATGCTACCATGAAGCACTAGGTCCTCCACCAGAAGAAAAGGAATGTCACAAACCCCACACACATGTATTAGAAAAATTAAATTCTACTCCTTCTTGGCTTGTTATTAGCTGAAACAAAATATTAAGTCACATTTACCGTCTAAATAAGGTATAAAACCATCTTTTCTTGGCAATAATTCGGTCATTTTATCTTTACATTTTGGTATGAATTAGACTGACATACCTTCCACAGATTATAAAAGTTTCAAATTAGTGAATCCAAGAAATTGTCTAAAAGAACTGAAACCCTGTAAGTAATAAAATGGTCCTCATCAGGCCAAGGCCTCGTGGGGAAGTGCACCCTCTCCTCCTCGTGGCCATCAGCCTGGGACCAGGGCAGGAAGGGGAAGAAGAGACGTTCTTTATATATGTTCAAAGTTACGAATACTGAAAATTGATTCTGACTTAGGAAGGGGAAAGCACCAGCGAGAACATGGCTGCTTCATCTTCAACCCCTCATGTTTTATATGAAAGAGATTCAAAAGGGAGGAAAGCAAAGCAGAAACATCAAGAAAGAATCTTTCTGGGGCGTCCAGGTGGCTCAGTCAGTTAAGCGTCCAACTCTTGGTTTCGGCTCAGATTGTGATCTCAGTTTGTGTGTTCAAGCCTAGCGTCGGGCTCTGTGCTGACAGTGCGGAGTCTGCTTGGGATTCTTTCTCTCTTTCTCTCCCCCCTCTCTCTCTGCCCCTCCTCTGCTCATGCACACACTCTCTCTCTCAAATAAATACACATTTAAAAAAATTTTTAAAAAGAAAGAAAAAACTCTTTCTGGAAGTCTCCTTAGCTTTCTCTGTGCCGTCCCACCCATTATGCCCTAATCAGGGAACACACACTCTGCTTTCATCCTCATGAGGACGAGAGCATAGCCTGTAGTTTGGCCAAGTTACATACAACCATGGTCCTCAGCAACTCCACCCTGCATCCCTCCTGAATGCCCTTGCTTCTTCAGGTCCGACCTGAGATTCTGTGGCCATGTTATTCGGGCAAGTTCCTAGCCTTGCCTTATCCTAGGTGAAACCTCAGAGTCCCTTTTCAAACGCCACGGTCTGTGTGCTAAGTATCGGGTATACCACAGATGAAATTCTTCTTTCTGGAACATTTGTTTGCCATCTCTCTTCTCTGCTGGAACATCAGCCCTGCGAGAGCAGGGACTCCGTGCCTGTCTGTCCTTTCCCCGTCACAGAATCCTCCAGACTCCCACTCTCCATTTATTACCATAGACAAACATTGGGCTGTTGAGCACAGTTTAGCTTACAGAGTGGCCTTGCATATATCCTATGGTGACTGATCGTGATCAATATTGCATCCAACAGGGAGTCTGAGACATGCAGAGAAAACCCACAGGGCAGGCCGGCGGGTCCCTCCACTTACCGCCACCTCCACAGACTGCATGGACAGGTCGCATGGTGGCTTCAGGGCTTTGGGTCTCGTCGCGTACCAGAAGGTGGTGAGGGCTGCAAACGCCCCAAAACCCATGAGTGTGTTGGTCGGAAGGGTGCGAACGTACTGTCGTAAGTCAACCAGCTCTGGCATTCGAAAGTACCGGAACAATTCGTGGGCTTGCATCGTCCTGTGTCGCTGGCTCCCTCAGCTGATTTCTGCCAGGAAAGAAAAGGTGTCATGTTCACTCCAGGAAGGCAGGCCTTGTCTCCAGAATTCTCAAAGGCCAACCATCCAACTTGATGCCTGGCTGGCCATTCAAGGCATGAAACCCACAGGCCTAATGGTCCAGCTCTCTTCCTGGCTGTCAAATTTCACGTTTCTAAAAACACTTTAGAAATCCATTTGACTTCTATCATTTTGGGCAAAGTGTCCATTTCCCACATTGAAAAGATTTTACTTGCAAAGAATTCTTGCCATAACATGCTCAAGTGCCATAAGTTACCAGTTTCTTCCCTGACATTGTGTCTCTGTTCTCTTCCACCTAATCAAACACGCTCCAGTCTCTTTATTAGGGCTAATGAGGAGAAAAGGGGAAGAGGTACAAATAAGCCCAAACCACCTAGTGGCCATCTGCTCCCACTTCTTCCAAAAGTTCTTAGAATAGTTCCGGATTCATAAAACAGACCAACCTAAATGTCCATGCGTCTCACCTTCCCCATGCTCTCTGTACCATAAAAGTAGCAATACAAATGCAGAGGAAACTATAGTTCTCTATTCTGATGAAATAATTTCTTTTATATTCCTCAAAATATTTAACCAAAATATAATAATAATAATGATAATAATAAAAGGGTGTACATAAATTTTAAACCATCCACCACATATCTAGAGAGAGACTGCAGCATAGTATTTGAGACAAAGTATAGAATAATATTTAAGAGCCCATATCGTAGAGCCAAATTCTGTGTTCCCAGCTTATTAGTTGTATGATTTGGAATTACTTCACTTCTCTGTGCCTCAGTTTCTCTAACCAAAAATGGAGACTGAAAACAGACCTATCTCATGGGGATTTTATAATGATTAAATCATTTACAGAGAGCTTAGAATGGCATGGGGCCCCAGAAGCTATTCAATAAATGCTAAGCACTATTCTTTCGTCTACCCTGATTCTGTGATTAGTCCTTTATAGAGAACCGTAAAGTACAGAGTTAATAAAAAACAACAACAATAACAACAATGCCTGACTACAAGGAGTTTACAAACAAAATTAAGCAGCCAAAACATAGTGGTACCCGGGTGGCTCACTCTCTCTCTTAAAATAAATAACTAAACCTTAAAAAAAAAAAAAAGCCAAAACACAAAGAAAATTGGATGAACCACCAAATGTAGATAAAAGTCTCAAACTGGGCAGTAAAGACAATCTGTATAGAAATCAGTATAAAAAGTGTGCAGAACAGATAATAAGTAAGAATAATTCTAACTAGAAAATAATTGATGAATAACTAAAGTATGTTCGGGAGTAAAGGGAAGGAAATCATAGTGAATGCTTTGAAAGGCCTTTCTCAAAAACTGCCTGCCAAGTGTTAATGTTTTAGCTGTACTTCAAATGGCATTTGTGAGTTCTCTATTATATGTTCTTCTAAATACCTAGGTCACAAAACTGAACATAATTTTCTTTTTTCAGATACAGAAATCTTTAAACCTCGCTCTCTCACACTGTAAATTTTGTTTACAGAAGAGCAGAGTATCGAGTGTTTTTATTGGCCATCAGCTCATGCAATCTTGTGCCACAACTCTGTGTAGGTGTGTACACACACACACACACACACACACACACACAGGAAATTTTCAGGTTTGACATGACAACCGAGAAAGAACCAATACGTGAAATGTCTTCAGGTCATAATTCTGAAGGAGGAGCTCCACTTCTTACAAAACCATTCACCATGGGTGCCACCAACAGCTGACGGCTAGGTGACACACCACTGTGGAGCAGAAGAGGTGGGGGGGGGGCGCTCAGCTGGCATTTACCTGACCTGCCAAGGTCTCTCAGGGCATTCGTCACATGCCAACTCCCATCCTGCTGCCCACCGGGCTAAAGGTAACTATGAGACAAAATTCATACTTGATGTCCCAGGAGAAGAGGGTGGAGGATGGGCCAATGAGCAGCTGGGAGCACAGTCACCCCACCGCTCCACCCATGGGCAGGGACAGGCATCAGCCAGTGTCACTGCCAGGGCCAGATCTGAAAACAGACACTGTTTTCTTTCCGCCTGGCTTCCCAATGGGGAGAGACAACGCGTATTTTTTTGAAAACCAGTGAAATAAATGATCAGATGTTGGGTGGCCTGTCGAACCAACATGTGACCGGCCACGAAAGAAACGGATTGCCCGGGGTACGGCCACGGCAGATCTATTCTAGAGGAAAGCACAGGGGCGGGGCTGCTCCGGGCGGGGGCACAGTGAACTGATGAGGGCAGCCGGGAGGACGCTGCCGACGACCTGGGCCAGGTTCTCGGCGGCCCGCGAGACCCGGGGCTGACGCCTGGGCTCCCTGGGGAAGGCCCGCACCCACGCAGGCGAAGGCGCGGGGAAGCAGGCAGATGGAGTCGGGCCGCTGGCGGGCGGCGGGTGGCCGGCGGCCAGATTTCGTCCTCGGCACAGCCCGCCCCGCCGACCTAAGCAACCTGACTGAACCGCGTGCGGCCCGCCTTCCCCTCGGGCACTCCCCCTTCTCCCCCTTCCAGCCCTCCTCCCGCGCACCGCGGCCCTGCTCGGGAAAGGAGTCTCCCACCCCTCCAGACACACCCCTGCCCTTGGCTCTTCTCGCCCCAGGGTGCCTGAAGTAATTTCCATACGACCCAGATCGTGTGAATCTGCAGGGCTGTTCAACAGAATCCCGGCCCTGGGTGAGAACGTTAAATAACTCCACCACAAACAAATGCAGTCATAAGCTGGTGATTTTTTTTCTATTTTAAGCATCAGCAGTAGCCAAGCCGTAGACAGCATTAGAGGAAGAAAGAAAAATGTCTATTTCTAGAGATAAGTCTAGGAAGGAAAACTTGAAAAAAAACACTTCAGGAAATTACTGATTTGGTAGCACTGCTGCAAGAATATTTTATTAGATGCTGATCTGTAATGCAAAGGGTTGAAACCCAGCTAAATTCTTTAGTGGGTGATAATGATAAGATAGGGCAGTTTAATCCACGCCTGTCAGCTCCCAGCCGGTAGAGGCTGAAAACCAGCTTCACTTAATCAACTGGTCAATGCCGCCCGTAGGAAAACCACAGCCCATCCACCTCAGAGCTAAGACAGTCCTTCTTTTAGATCCACGTGAAGAACGACTCTTAAACATGAAAAGAAAGCATTCTAAATCTTCTCCCTTCCACGCAACTGTTATTAAGGAAAGGCTCTTGGCGTATTTAGAAATGGAGGCAGACCTGCATTCAAAGAAAATGAGCCACAATAAACAGCCTTTCGATGCTGCAGGTGAACACGAACCCCAGGCTGTAAGACAGCAAGACTCACTTGCCAACAGGTGATTAAAACGCAGACCGATTTTATTTCTTATTCCAGTGGTGTTCTAGTTGGAATATTTTTTTATTAAATTCTTTCAACAGCAAATGTCCACATCATCCTCTCAGGAAGTTTACAGCCCAGCCAAATAATAATGCTGCTATTTGCTAAGAATATGATTCAATCGGCTTAAAGGCTTAAGTAGCCAGTATTTCCCAGTTGAGAACACACAAGACTATTGGCAGCTAGCTTCTCCCTTCCCCAACAGCTACGCCTGCATACCCTTCCTCCCGGCACTTACAAAAAGTGGGTTTGCTCAGTTGGGTCTTTTGAATTTCCTAAAAAGCTAGAGTCTAAAACCACGGAACTACAGAGAACACAGCAATGGTCAGGGGAACGTGGCTCACATCCAGTTCAAAGAACCAGAGTGAAGGATGCCTTTAAGTAGACCTGCGCAGAAACAGATACACAGGACAGAGTGATAGAAACTGGACTGTCAGGAAACAGAAATCCTGGCACTTATCCACCCAAACTTTGGGAAGAAGAGCGAGCAACACGGTTAGCACTGATTTAGTGTTTCGGAAAGGCGTTCACATTCTCTCACTGGAACATCGCCGTACAAAACCACCATGAGGAAACTGAGGCTGGAGACAAGAGGCTTCCCCAAGGTGTATCCCAAGACGGGGACACCAACTCGACTCTCAAGTCATGCTTTTTCCTCTACACGAACAATTCCTAACCTCTGCTGGGCCGCTGATCCTCTCCACTGGGAACATGCGTATCCCTCTCTGCACGTGGGACTCACAAGTCCCCTGCAGCCCCCTCCGGCTTGGAAACTGTGAGAGCAGGTGGTTTCTAAAGGTCCTCTAGCACTGCCATTGCACGGCACGATGACAGCCGGGCATCTGACCTCCATGTCTTACATAACCGCTAGCGTTTGCCCCATCATCCTGGACTCTAAGGCCACCTGGACACAAGGTTCACCTCCGACCGTTTTGTTTACACCACAGAAAAAGTGGTTTGGGGCCAGAGGTGACTTGCAAGGACATCGTTCTCTAAGGGCACAGGGACACACACACACACACACACACAGCTCCTGTGATTTTGCAGATTGATACTTACATCGGCATTTTATTTTCTTCATACCGTTTACCAACCCAAAAAATGGGTGATCGGGACGTTTCTCCCCTTCTAAAGTTCCTCAAGCTTTCATTTGGTTGAATAATAGCGGTTTGACAGAACACTCCTCTAGGAATGCAGCCTTGAAGCAAACCCACATAAATAGCAACCTTGCCCCGGCAGCAGCAAATGCAGAAACCCTGACATCTTTCCTTAAAAGCAGCAAGCCAAGCTGGCAGGGTGCTGCCATTCCTTGCTCCACCTCCGCCCCCTTGTACAACAGGCTATTGACAGAAGCCTGAAACTCCCTCTTTGTCCTCAGCTGGCCGGGCAGAGCTCAGCCTCGGGGAGGAACAAGAGAGCGGCAGCCAGACCGTGTGCTGTTCTTTCAGTGCGCCGCTCCAAACCCCTTGGATTCGTGCTCCTTAGCCCGGGCTGGCACCGTACCGAAAGCTAGATTTGCTTAAGCCGTCCCCTCTGGAACCAAAAGAGCAGTCGGGCTGTCCCTCAACAGGGATGCCAGAGTGCATCAGTTAGAAAGGAGGACAGAGGTCTCTGTCCAAAGCCCGTTCTGTACAGG